TGCAACCCCGGTGGCCCCTCCAGGAGGGCCCCGTCCCCCGTGGAACCCCGGTGGCCCCTCCAGGAGGTCCCCGTCCCCCGTGGCACCCCGGTGGCCCCTCCTGGAGGTCCTCGTCTGCCATGGAACCCCGGTGGCCCCTCCAGGAGGTCCCCGTCCCCTGTGGAACCCCGGTGGCCCCTCCTGGAGGTCCCCGTCCCCCGTGGAACCCCGGTGGCCCCTCCTGGAGGTCCCCGTCCCCCGTGGAACCCTGGTGGCCCCTCCTGGAGGTCCTCGTCTGCCATGGAACCCCGGTGGCCCCTTCAGGAGGTCCCCGTCCCTTGTGGAACCCCGGTGGCCCCTCCAGGAGGTCCCCGTCCCCCAAGGGCTGGTAGTGACCCTACTTGAGGGTCCCTGTTGGTGACCATCTTGGGGGATGTTGGAGCAACCAGTGGGGTGTTGGGGCTCCCAGAGGGACCTCGGGGGGTTCTTGGGGACATCAGGCCACCCACGGGGACGTCAGGAGATCCTGGAGGACATTGGGACACCCAGTGAGCTATGGGAGGTTTGCTGGGAGGTGCTGGGCCACCCAGGGGGGACATCAGAGGGTCCTTGGGGCCATGGGGGCACTCAAGGGGACGTCAGGAGGTCCTTGGGGACGTTGGGGCACCCAGAGGGACCTCAGGGGGTTCTTGGAGACGTTGGGGCACCCAAGGGGACGTCAGGAGGTCCTTGGGGACGTTGGGGCACCCAGAGGGACCTCAGGGGGTTCTTGGGGACGTTGGGGCACCCAAGGGGACCTCAGGAGATCCTTGGGGACGTTGGAGCACCCAGATGGGTCCTTGGGGACATTGGGGCACCCAAAGGAACATCAGGAGATCTTTGGGGACATCGGGAGGTCCTGGAGGACATCGGGGCACCCAGTGAGCTACGGGAGGTGCTGGACCACCCGGGGGGACATCGGGGAGTTCTTGGGGACATGGTGTGGCTCTGGGCCACCCCGCGGGATGTCCCCAACCCTGCCGTGTCCCCTCTGGAAGGATGAAGCAGGAGAAGCAGGTGAAGGCCGGGCAGTACGACGGACTGGTGGAGTTGGCCACCATCTGCGCCCTCTGCAACGACTCCTCCCTCGACTACAACGAGGTGACCTCCGTCCCCGTCCCCACCGGTGCCACCTTCTCCCTCCCCGGGGTTGAGTTGGTGACACCGCCCCGTCTCCGCAGTCCAAAGGCATCTACGAGAAGGTGGGGGAGGCCACCGAGACGGCGCTGACCTGTCTGGTGGAGAAGATGAACGTCTTCAACACCGACGTCCGCAGTCTCTCCAAGGTGGAGCGCGCCAACGCCTGCAACTCCGTAAGTGTCCCCTCCTCCTGTCCCCTCCCTCACCTCTTCCAGCTCTTGGTGACCCCGTTCTCCTCCCCGTGTCCCCACGAGCTTCGTCCTCACCTCACCGTGCCACCACCCCGCGCGTCCCGTTGACCTCCGCCTGTCCTCGTTGTCCCCATCTCCTCGTTAGTCCCGTGTCACCACTGTCCCCGAGGTCCTCCTTGCGTCCCCGAGGTCCTCCTTGCGTCCCCGAGGTCCTCCCCGTGTCCCCACGGGTCCTGTCCCCACCTTCTCCACACCAACCTTCTGTCCAACCATGTGTCGTTGCCCCCGCTGTCCTCTTCGTGCCACCGTTGCCCCCATGTCCTTGCTGACCTCGTGTCCCCACTGTCCCCGAGGTCCTCTCGATGTCCCCGAGGTCCTCTTGATATCCCCAAGGTCCTCCCTGTGTCCCCACTGACCCCATCCCCACCATGTCCCCATGTGTCCCGTTGACCCCACTGTCCTCGTGTCACCGTTGTCCCCATGTCCTTCTTGACGCCATGTCCCCACTGTCCCTGAGGTCCTCTCGATGTCCCTGAGGTCCTCTTGATGTCCCCGAGGTCCTCTCGATGTCCCCGAGGTCCTCTTGATGTCCCCGAGGTCCTCTCGATGTCCCCGAGGTCCTCTTGATGTCCCCGAGGTCCTCTCGATGTCCCCGAGGTCCTCTTGATGTCCCCGAGGTCCTCTCGATGTCCCCGAGGTCCTCTTGATGTCCCCGAGGTCCTCTCGATGTCCCCGAGGTCCTCTTGATGTCCCCGAGGTCCTCTCGATGTCCCCGAGGTCCTCTTGATGTCCCCGAGGTCCTCTCGATGTCCCCGAGGTCCTCTTGATGTCCCCGAGGTCCTCTCGATGTCCCCGAGGTCCTCTTGATGTCCCCGAGGTCCTCTCGATGTCCCCGAGGTCCTCTTGATGTCCCCGAGGTCCTCTCGATGTCCCCGAGGTCCTCTTGATGTCCCCGAGGTCCTCTCGATGTCCCCGAGGTCCTCTTGATGTCCCCGAGGTCCTCTCGATGTCCCCGAGGTCCTCTTGATGTCCCCGAGGTCCTCTCGATGTCCCCGAGGTCCTCTTGATGTCCCCGAGGTCCTCTCGATGTCCCCGAGGTCCTCTTGATGTCCCCGAGGTCCTCTCGATGTCCCCGAGGTCCTCTTGATGTCCCCGAGGTCCTCTCGATGTCCCCGAGGTCCTCTTGATGTCCCCGAGGTCCTCTCGATGTCCCCGAGGTCCTCTTGATGTCCCCGAGGTCCTCTCGATGTCCCCGAGGTCCTCTTGATGTCCCCGAGGTCCTCTCGATGTCCCCGAGGTCCTCTTGATGTCCCCGAGGTCCTCTCGATGTCCCCGAGGTCCTCTTGATGTCCCCGAGGTCCTCTCGATGTCCCCGAGGTCCTCTTGATGTCCCCGAGGTCCTCTCGATGTCCCCGAGGTCCTCTTGATGTCCCCGAGCTCCTCCTCATCTCCCCACCGACCCCGTCCCCACCTTCTCCACCCTGACCCCACCTCCCCCTGCGCCCCGTTGACCCCGGCCGTCCTCCCCGTGCCACCATTGTCCCCGCTGTCCCCGTTGTCCCCCTCTCCGTGACGCCGTCCCCGCTGTCCCCAGGTCATCAAGCAGCTGATGAAGAAGGAGTTCACTCTGGAGTTCTCCCGCGACCGCAAGTCCATGTCCGTCTACTGCTCTCCGGCCAAAGCCTCCCGCGCCGCCGTGGGCAACAAGATGTTCGTCAAGGTGGGCCTCCATCCCCACCTCCCCGTGGTCCACCTCCCCCCGCCCCGGTGGCCGCCTTCTCCACGCCGACGTCCCCCCCGATGTCTTCGTAGGGCGCTCCTGAAGGCGTCATCGACCGCTGTAACTACGTGCGGGTGGGCACCACGCGGGTGCCCCTCACCCCCACCGTCAAGGAGAAGATCCTCGCTGTCATCAAGGAGTGGGGCACCGGGCGGGACACGCTGCGCTGCCTGGCCTTGGCCACCCGCGACACCCCACCCAAGAAGGAGGACATGGTCCTGGAGGACTCCACCAAGTTCGCCGAGTACGAGGTGATGCCTTCGGGGGAGGGGGGGGTGGGGGCGGGCGTTGGTCTGCCACGTCCTCGTAGAAGGAAGGACCTTCTCGGGGGTCTGTGCTCCCCTGTGGGCCCCTTCTTGGGGCTTCTTTGGGCCTTCAGGGGTCTACAGTGTCCCCTCGTTGGGGTTCTTGGTCCTACCTGGCCCTCCGAGACCTTTCTCGGAGGTTCTTTGGACTTCGGGGGTCTACGGTGTCCCCTCTTTGAGGTTCTTGGTCCTCTATGGCCCTCTAACACCTTTCGTGGAGGTTCCTTGGGCCTTCAAAGGTCTACGGTGTCCCCTCTTTGAGGTTCTTGGTCCTCTATGGCCCTCTAACACCTTTCGTGGAGGTTCCTTGGGCCTTCAAAGGTCTACGGTGTCCCCTCTTTGAGGTTCTTGGTCCTCTATGGCCCTCTAACACCTTTCGTGGAGGTTCCTTGGGCCTTCAAAGGTCTACGGTGTCCCCTCTTTGAGGTTCTTGGTCCTCTATGGCCCTCTAACACCTTTCGTGGAGGTTCCTTGGGCCTTCAAAGGTCTACGGTGTCCCCTCTTTGAGGTTCTTGGTCCTCTATGGCCCTCTAACACCTTTCGTGGAGGTTCCTTGGGCCTTCAAAGGTCTACGGTGTCCCCTCTTTGAGGTTCTTGGTCCTCTATGGCCCTCTAACACCTTTCGTGGAGGTTCCTTGGGCCTTCAAAGGTCTACGGTGTCCCCTCTTTGAGGTTCTTGGTCCTCTATGGCCCTCTAACACCTTTCGTGGAGGTTCCTTGGGCCTTCAAAGGTCTACGGTGTCCCCTCTTTGAGGTTCTTGGTCCTCTATGGCCCTCTAACACCTTTCGTGGAGGTTCCTTGGGCCTTCAAAGGTCTACGGTGTCCCCTCTTTGAGGTTCTTGGTCCTCTATGGCCCTCTAACACCTTTCGTGGAGGTTCCTTGGGCCTTCAAAGGTCTACGGTGTCCCCTCTTTGAGGTTCTTGGTCCTCTATGGCCCTCTAACACCTTTCGTGGAGGTTCCTTGGGCCTTCAAAGGTCTACGGTGTCCCCTCTTTGAGGTTCTTGGTCCTCTATGGCCCTCTAACACCTTTCGTGGAGGTTCCTTGGGCCTTCAAAGGTCTACGGTGTCCCCTCTTTGAGGTTCTTGGTCCTCTATGGCCCTCTAACACCTTTCGTGGAGGTTCCTTGGGCCTTCAAAGGTCTACGGTGTCCCCTCTTTGAGGTTCTTGGTCCTCTATGGCCCTCTAACACCTTTCGTGGAGGTTCCTTGGGCCTTCAAAGGTCTACGGTGTCCCCTCTTTGAGGTTCTTGGTCCTCTATGGCCCTCTAACACCTTTCGTGGAGGTTCCTTGGGCCTTCAAAGGTCTACGGTGTCCCCTCTTTGAGGTTCTTGGTCCTCTATGGCCCTCTAACACCTTTCGTGGAGGTTCCTTGGGCCTTCAAAGGTCTACGGTGTCCCCTCTTTGAGGTTCTTGGTCCTCTATGGCCCTCTAACACCTTTCGTGGAGGTTCCTTGGGCCTTCAAAGGTCTACGGTGTCCCCTCTTTGAGGTTCTTGGTCCTCTATGGCCCTCTAACACCTTTCGTGGAGGTTCCTTGGGCCTTCAAAGGTCTACGGTGTCCCCTCTTTGAGGTTCTTGGTCCTCTATGGCCCTCTAACACCTTTCGTGGAGGTTCCTTGGGCCTTCGAGGGTCTACAATGACCCCTCATTGGGGTTCCCGGTCCTACACGGCCATATAACCCCCTTCTTGGGGGTTCTTTGGTCCGCCATGGGTGATTAATGTCCCCCTGTTTGGGGTTCTTGGTCCTATGTGGTCCTCTAACGCCTTTCGTGGAGGTTCTTTGGGCCTTCAAAGGTCTACAGCGTCCCCTCATCGGTGTTTTTGGTCCTCTACGGCCCTCTAACGCCTTTCTTGAAGGTTCTTTGGGCCTTCAAAGGTCTACAGTGACCCCTTTTTGGGGCTTTTGGTCCTCTGTGGCCATACAACACCTTTCACGGAGGTTCTTTGGGCCTTCGGGGGTGTATAAGGTCCTCTCTTTGGAGGCCTCCGGTCCTCTCTGACCCTATAACACCTCCTCTGGTGCATCTTTGGTCCTGTGGGGTTGTAGAAGGTCCTCTCGTTGGGGTCCCTGATCCCGTATAGCCACGGACCGACCTCTCTGTGGGCTCCTTGGTCCTACAGGGCCACGGGGAACCTTCTCTGGGGGGTTCTGGGTCATCTACGGGTGTCCCGGGTCCCCTTTTTTGGGGTTCGTGGTCCCACGTAGACCACCTAAAGCTTTTTGAGGGGGCGGTTTTGGTCCTCTAAGGTTGTCCGTCTGTCCCCCCCTATAGATGGACCTGACCTTCGTGGGTTGCGTGGGGATGTTGGACCCCCCCCGCAAAGAAGTGATGGGCTCCATCCGCCTCTGCCGGGACGCCGGCATCCGGGTCATCATGATCACGGGGGACAACAAAGGGACGGCCATCGCCATCTGCCGTCGCATCGGGATCTTCAGCGAGGAGGAGGAGGTGACGGGGCGGGCCTACACGGGGCGGGAGTTCGACGACCTGCCCCCCGCCGAGCAGCGGGAAGCCTGCCGCCGCGCCTGCTGCTTCGCCCGCGTCGAGCCCACCCACAAGTCCAAGATCGTGGAGTTCCTCCAGTCCTTCGATGAGATCACCGCCATGGTGAGGCTCCCGGGGCGCTCCCGCCTCCCTCTGATGTGCTTTTGGGGGTCCACCAGCGGTTTGGGAGGTTCCTGGGGGGTCTCACGTCTATCTGATGTGCTTTTGGGGGTCCACCAGCGGTTTGGGAGGGTTCTGGGGGGTCTCACGTCTATCTGATGTGCTTTTGGGGGTCCACCAGCGGTTTGGGAGGGTTCTGGGGGGTCTCACGTCTATCTGATGTGCTTTTGGGGGTCCACCAGCGGTTTGGGAGGGTTCTGGGGGGTCTCACGTCTATCTGATGTGCTTTTGGGGGTCCACCAGCGGTTTGGGAGGTTCCTGGGGGGTCCCACGTCTATCTGACGTGTTTTTGGGGGTCCACCAGCAGTTTGGGAGGTTCCTGGGAGGGGTCTCACATTGATTTGATGTGGTTTTGGGGGTCCATCAGTGCTCTGGGAGGTTCCTGGGGGGTCCCGCGTTCATCTGACGTGCTTTTGGGGGTCCACCAGTGTTTTGGGAAGTTCCTGGGCGTTCGGTGTCAACCTGACGTGGGTTTGGGGGTCCATCATCATTTTGGGAGGTTCCTGGGGGGTCACGCATCGATCTGACGTGGGTTTGGGGGTCCACCATCACCGCTAGAAGATGCTCTGGAGCTCCAGGGTGGCCAGTAACTCCTGGGGTGGG